CGTGCCCATCTTCCTCTACTTTGTATGCAGGACGCCTGCCACGGCATGGCCTGATAAGTGGTGTGTAGGTCCACACCCAGGATCTGAACCTACAAACCCCGGGCCGCTGAAGCAGAGCACCTGATCTTAACCACTACGCCACCGGGCTGGCCCCTGGGAGCACTTCTTTTAGCAGGAGTCTCTAAGCTGCTGTCCTTCTCTGCTTAAGCTGTGATGTTGGCCACTCTGCTGAATTGACCAGAGGAACCTGTGTTTTCAGCACAGCCTCTTGCTTAAGTTCAAATTCATAATGCAGAAGATAAATTAGAGCACAAAAGTTCAAACGTCTCCACTTCTGACATTTGTGCTAATTAGTTTCTGCTCAGTGTTATATTCCGTCTTCTCTGTTTTACTTTGGGAAAAACTAGATAAATGTAAATACATTTTTACACATCTAGATTTCCATTTCAGTATTCAGAAGCAGACATATAGGTTCAGGGTCTGCCTTGAGTGTGTGACCAGTGCTCAGATGCCACGGTTTATACCCTTTTATATTGCATTTTATTCCTACTGCTCTGTAAAAGCAAGTCTGCTCAAAGAGGGCCCAGTTAAAAAGAAAATCTTCAAAACGATGAGGATTTTCTCTTCACATGTTGGTTCCATCACAGTTGTAAGACTGTCACCACCACCCATGAGCCGGCTACATCCAAGCGCTGTGTGAGACGCCTGGTGGGTGCTATCTTCTCCACAGCTGGGCAGGCCTGGGCTCCAGGAGGGACAGTTCCTTGCCGAGGTCCCAGCGCGAGCACACGGCAGAGCTGGATTTCATCCTAAGTCTTCACTCCAGAGCTCTCACGCTTTTCTCCTCTGCATCCAGGCTGTTGTCGTGCCTTAATTTCCATACAGAATGTAACAGTTCAAGCAAAATAATTTGAACTAGTTGGAATATTAGACTTTGCATTTTCTTTTAAATCACACTGACATGTAATTTTTCCTCAGCTGACATTTTTACAGAGACAGTTTGCCCCTATGGGTACCCCTCCCTGTGAAAGCTGCTGATGTTCTTTGAATTTCGAGGGTAACCTGCCCGCCTCTGATTCCCTCAAACCCCCCAGGACAGATGCCCTGGCAGCTGCTGCTGAGGAGGTCACTTGACCCCTTTCCTCCCTCACCTGAGGTGAGCTGTGAGGTGCCTGATGCTGATAAAGTGTTTGATAACAGACTTTTCTTATTCCGTGTTCTTATTCTGTTCAATCGGTGTTGAAATGCCGGTGGCTCCTTCCCAGACACCTCTAGTGGAAATTTACCATGTAGCATAAATTACTCACGTTTATTGATAGATTTGTTTCCAGCAAGAGGTCAATTAACTTGTTACACTTTAATATATAGGTTTTGGACAGGGTGAAATTATGCAAGTGTGAATTCTGCTTATTAACTGTTACTCTATTGTAAAAGAATCCTCAAGTCCTGCCAACCTTACCTTCTGTATAGGTCTCAAGTCACTGCCTTTCTCAGCATCCTTTTTGCCCCCATCTAGCTCAGAATTGCCCACTCCCACCTGGATGACTGTGGCAGTTGGTGTCCCTGCCTCCAGGCCCCAGGGAACCAGGGTGAATGCCTGAAAGCAGAATTTGACCATTTACTTCACTGCACAGCTTACAGACCACTAGTGGCTCCCCTCAGCTGGGGAATTCCCAGCCCTTTGTGCCTATCCCGTGTCACCTCCTGCCTGCCCACTACGTGACCCTGTCTGCTCGGAGTTCCCCCAGAGGCATGCTGCCTCTTGCGCCTGTACCTTTGTCCACACTCTGTCCTCACCCTGTTGCATCCTTCTCCACTCCTGCCTTAAGCCAGCTTACTCCCCTTCCTCCTCAGACTGCTCAGATGTCGGCTCCTCCAAGAAACTCTCTGATGGCCCTTCCCCGTCTGGGCCAGCCACCTCCTCCTGGGTCTCCACAACAGCTCCCTGCGATTACCTTCCTCATAAGGTGCATCGTACTTGACTCTGAGTGTTCGTTTCTCTGGCCCTCGCACTAGCCTGTGCTCCTGAATAAAACTGCCCTTCTGGCCACCCAGAAAAACAGAGGGATTCCTGGAGTGAGGGAAAAACTCCTCAGAGCAAAATCTCTCGTGGAGTGAGTGGACCCCATGTCCACAGCTCCAGCGTGGCTGGAAACACGGTGACTGATGTGAACCTGAGCTTATACAGTAGAGCTCTCCCTTGTTGTTCCTCCCGTAGACCATGAAGAGGCTATCTGCTGTGGCTGTCCCCCCACACCCTAACCCTGTTATTAACATGGCTCGGTAATTGTCCAAGAGGGCTGATTTGTTGAAATTCAAATTTGAGTCTCCAGAGAAGGTTCTCCGCGTTATCAGTGGTGGGAGTGCTTTCACTGGAAAGGACAAACAAATCAGAGGCTTCAGAGAGATGGTGCGGGTGGGACTCTTCTTCATTCCTCTGCTCCACTCTTCCTCAGGGGCACTGGGGACAGGCAAGGGACACACGCAGCGCCCTAGCACAGGAAAACACAGAAGGTGGGGTGTTTGTGGTTACTGGCCCAAATATGCAGCCTTCCAGGAGACCTGACTTGGGGTGATTCCTTTTTGTTTTTCCATGTGACTGTCGCGCAGATGAACTGCAGGCCACCCCTCTGTGCACCCACAGTTGATACAGGCACCGCCATTCCAAGGGGGATTCCTTCCAGAGGCTCCCTGCCCGTGCAGACTGCATCTCACAGATGCCGTGTAGATTGGGCTCTACCTAAAGAGCGCAGAACATGTTTTCAATGGTGTCTTGGTTGTTAAGGCGAAACACGCTCTAGCATCTTGAGGTTTGGTTTGGTTTTGTCAGTGACGAGCGGGAGCAGGTGGTGTAGACAGTCCGTGAGATCACTAATCAAAGTGGTCAGTGAACCTCAAAGCTTCAGGTCTACAGGCCTCCCTAAGACCTTCTGGTCCTTTTTAGCCCCAGGCCCTGGTGTCTGTGTCTGTCACGGCCAGGTGTCAGCAGTAAAGCCTCCTGGAGGGGGTGTTTCTGTTTGTCTTTCACAGCCCTGTGACCTTCATAAGTGGCCCTCCTGGGTCACAGCATGGCCAACAAAGGTATCTGCATTGTTCTTCCACACAGTGACATCACCAAGACTATTATTCCAGGATGGATCCTGTGAAAATAAAGGAATACACACACACGTACATACATATGTAAATATGGATACATCTATTTATATGAGATTCACGTTCTTATCAGAAATAAGTGATTTATATGTTAAGAGAAGGATCAGCTTCCAGCTAAGAATTCTAACAATTTAGTACCACAATTTAGAAGCAGGCTAAACTTGTCAAGTGACTGAAAGGTTTTTTTCAGAAATTATTAGCTAATTTTTTCAATATAGAATTTATAGTCACAATTAGTATATCATAATGATATTTCCAGGATAAAATACCAGCAGCTCTACTTTTCTGGCCACATGTACAGCATATATCAGTTTATTTTTGGAGATCTGAAGAATTAGCTACTGTAAATAAAGTCCCCAAGAAGATTTCTCCGGGAAAGAGGTGAACTTACAGTAATGTGGGTGATATATTATTAATTAATAACTGTGACCAGCCACTGCTTCAGTTAAAAGGACAATGGATGAGAAGGCCTTATAGAAAGGATATGCTGAATTTTAATCTCACCCAGCACCAAGGTCTGCAGAGCAGCTAGGGAAAGTCGTTTCTGAGGCTGTTTGCAGGACGCCTCTGGGTTGGAGATGTCACCAGCTGCTCCTTGGTCTGGAAACGTTTGCTGAGCACTGACTACATGTCTCTTGGACATGGGAGCAGTGATCCTTTGGTTTCCAGTAATGGAAATCAATTTCAAAATAGCTTAAGGAGAAAGAGGAGTTTCTTGGAGGGCCACAGGGGTCCCCCAGACCCAAGGATAGCATGAGCTGCTGGGTCAGGGAGAGCTTCACATGGCACTGAGATAGGCTGACATCTGTGTCTCTATTTAGAGGAGGGAATCTGATTGGCATGTCTGGCCCAGAGGACAGGCAGAGAGAGTGTACGCAGGGCTGGGGGGGTCATGATACAGTCAGCAGGTTTCTTTGACGGGCCGTGTACAGTGTGGGAGGCCACACGAGAAAGTTGCCTAGAAGTGGAGCTATGGAGACTCGCCCAAGGAGGGGCCCGTTGAGCTGAGTCACTCAGGATTAGCAGGTCTTTTCCAGATAGGTCAGTGAGAGAGGACATTCCAGGCATGGGCAGGTGGGAGTGTGCAGTGTCGTGGGCTGGCCTGTGGCCTGTGAGGGCGGTGGAGTGAGATGAGGCTAGACCAGGAAGCAGTCCTGGAAGTGACAAAGTCACTCTGAAGGTGGTAGGAAAGGGGTGTGAAAGGATTTGGATCTGGGTGGGATTTGTGTGTTCAGAGGATCTGACCCTGTGAGGTCCATCTGCTTTGTGAAGTGCCAGCTTTCCATGGCAGCCTTTAGAGTGGACCCCCCACCCGTCCACCCATCCTTCCAGGGTAGAAATGACCAGAGGCCTTGGGAGCAGCTTCCATGCAGGGTCACAAGACCAGGACCCTCTCCCGGCAGGAGCCAGAGCTATGGAGAAGCCTCGCAATAGCATTACTATCGGCCTTTCTCCTTCCTGTTGCTCATTTATATGACTTTAAGCACAGTTGTTTTATTTTTAGAGTAATAATTTGGAGTTAATTGGCCTTCTACCTTAAAACTCCCACCTTTTCCGTGTAATTATTGTGTAGAAGTAGTTCTGTAAAGCCTTCCTAAATGTAGCGTTCCCCTGAACACACCCCGGAGGGGAATGGGACCTCACTAGCCGTTGGATATTTTTCTCTTTTACTGTCCATGTTCTCCCCGGCCTGTGATGAGAAAAATGAACCACTCTTGGTAAGAGTAGTTGTCACACGGCCTCCACTTGCTCTTGCTTGAACTAGGATGGTAAAGGGAGAGAATATGGGGGCCCTCCCCGTGGGTAACCCACCAGCACCCCCTCAACACTGCCTGTTCTCTCTCCAGGTCACGCAATATTTAAACTCACGTATCTAAGCAATCACGACTATAAACACCTCTACTTTGAATCGGACGCTGCTACCGTCAATGAAATTGTGCTCAAGGTGAGTGTTCCTTCTTGGCCCAAGCACTGGGTGTGCAGGGCTGGCTTCTGCCCCTCCTCCTCCTGCACTGGACGAGGCTTCTGGGCCCGCGTTTGCAGAGGAGCAACTCACTGCCCACTGGTCACCCAGCTGGTGAGCACCCACACCCAGAGCCCCACCGCAGGTCAGCTGCTCTGCACTCATTTCAGCCAAAGCAGGACCCGCTTTTCCTTCCTCCTGGCCCTTTAATAATCCTGGATCTTCATGTATTTATATATCCTTTTTTGCACCATTTATTTCCTTCCATCCATTGTCAGGAGCTCCTTGAGGCTCCTGGAACAGACTCGGGAAATTATTGTTATCATTTGAAGATACCTTAATGTACTCAGGATAATTTTAGCAGCCTGTTCTAACATACCCAACTTGATGGTAGAATTGTATGTTACCATATGTCAGCAATGCTCGCTGAGCACCTTCTGGGTGCCAGGCCAGTCCTGCAGTGACAGACCCAGGCCGTACCCTCAGAGTTTTCCCCTATCGGAGGAGACAGACATTAAACATTAAAATTACGGAGAGATTGTTGAACAATCTGCAAGGTGCCATGCCGGTGTGTCAAGGGTAAAATGATTTGGTGTGGGGGGTGGGGAGGCAGGGAGAGCTGAACCCTGAAGAATGGATGAAAAGCATAGATTTTATCAGATAAAGAGAGAAAAAGCATTTCAGACTGGGAGCGGCCTGTGAAGGGTCAGAGAGGCGGGGCAAACACCCTGTGGCTGGAGCAGAGTGAGGTTGGAGGGGCACACAGAACCTTACACAGCAGGCTCGCGCTGAGAAGAGCTCCGTGGGGGTCTTGCTGGTTCGGGTGGTCTAGGGTAGGGCCTGAGATTGTGCATTTCTAAGAAGCTCCCAGGTGCTGCCCGGGCTGCTGGTCTGGGCACCGCACTGGAATAGCCCTGGACTAGTGGTTTTTAGAATCTTCCAAACTGAGAATTCAGTCTTCAAGCTGACTCCTTTGTAGATTGATCAGATAGCAAAAACAGAGCTGCTTTGGCAGAGGAGGGCTTAGAGCCAGAGGGGGCTCCCCCACCCTGAGCTGTGTGACTTTGGCTGGTCACATCACCTCTCAGGGCCTGTAAAATGCGGGTCACGGTAGCAACAATGCCCCACCCCAGCAGCAGGCTGTTAGAACACAAATCAAACGAGAGATGGTAAACCTACCTAGATGATTATTCCTTGTCTTCTTAAGAGCAGAAGTCATCAAGTAAGAATAATAAAAGTAGCTGAGCCTGTACTGAGGGATTGCAGCATGCAGGACCTGGGCTAAGACTTTAGATCCCCTGTTTCAGTGAATCTTCACAGCTCCATGAGGGAGTGACGTAAAATTGTCCCCATTTCCTAGATGAAAGCTGAGGCTCAGGAGAAAACTAACTCAGGCAGGACCATGACTGGCAGAACCCGACCTTGACCCCAGATTCCAGAACTTGTGCTCCTAACCACCCAGCTGTGTGTAGCCTTAAGGAGTTGAATGGGAGATTTCAGCAAAATGGCATTGTTTTACAGAAACATTTTGAGGCAGAGTCCTCATGGCTGCAGAAGATTCTCGGGAGTAGTGAGTGAGAATGAGAAGGATAAAGCTGTGGGGAGGACAGTTTGGAGCCGAGGTGGAGCAGCCCGGTCAGCTGGCTGGAAGGTAGATCAGAATCCCCGCAGACCGAGCAGTGGGGACAGAGTGCCTGGCTGGAGTGCTGGACCCAGCGAGCTGAGAGTTGCTCGCCGGGTTGTCACCCAACAGCACGGGGAACTTGTGCAGTGCTCAGGGACTCGGTAAAGAAACATTCCATTACTCCCAGGGGCTGGGCTCTTTTTTATAGCCAGCATTAAAATATTCAAGACTTGAGAAGAATTCTAGTAAAATGATAATCCTGTGTTTGACATCAAAATAATTTTCACAATAGCAGATTGATGGCAGACACACAGGTTTATGACTTAAGCATGCGACTGTGGGAGAGCAAGTGCAGAGAAGTCATTTTACGAGACCAAAAGCTCCCTCGAAGCCGGTGCTTTCCTGCAAAATCCCTGAGGCCTGTCGCCTCCCCTGAAACGTCTGTTTTCATATTGAAATGTTTGTAGAAATATTGCACGATGCACGAGACTCCAGGATAGTCACGCGTGCCCAGCCTGACTTACTTAGAGAGCTGATGATCTTGATCCTGATGGAAGATTAAATTTCACTTCTCCTCTCTCTGATTTTTCTAGCAATTTAAACACTTAGCCGTGTCTGCCATTCCCAGGTCTCTTTGTGAGCTTTGCACCAACACCAGTGATGGCAGCCCCGGCCCTGTGTCCAGGAATTTGGCAGAAATGTTTCCATCAGAGGCTCTTCAGGAGTCAGACTTAGACTCAAGTAATGCATGTGGTGGTTCTAGAATTCAGGAGTTTTACATAGAATGAGAGCTTTAGACTGAAACTGAAGGGAGGAAATGATGTCAAAGAAATTATGATGAACAGGCAACTCCATCAAATTATTTTATCTCGTCATTTTCCCCCATGTAGAAATATTAATGTCTCCCATTTATTGAGCACCAACTGCATGCAAGGCATTTTATGTACATTATCTCATTTAGTCTTCACCACTGCCTTGCACAGTGTAGACATTATTATCCCCATTTTATAGATGAGATAGAGGCCCAAGGCCACAGCGCACATAAGGGTGGAGCCTCAACTGCAACCCAGCCCCGAGGAGTTCCAGACCTATGCCTTCCCACCGCAGACATAATTGAGCCCAGCCATGTGTGGTCCCTCATTCTGCAGACTCTGCGATGACTCTCGGAGGAATCGCTGGTCTCTTCAAATCGGGTTCTTCTCGTGATCGAGTGATGGAGGCTGTAGCTTTATTGACCATGAAAACTCCCTATATTTTTATGCCTTAAGCTGTAAAATGCATTGAAAGTGAAACACTCCATAGTGCATAAAATTGTGCAAGTTTTAAGCCACAGCATATTAACCAGCTAATGGCAGACCAAAGGGTGTTTTTACCTTTTGATTATTACATTAATCTTCCATTAAAATTATCTATGTGATTATCACAAAGCATTGAAGATAATAAATTTAGGAAATAGTTGGCTTGTTAAGGATCATTTTTAAATGCTTTTGTCAAGTTGTATGTGCCAAAAATACACTGAAGACACTAGGTTGGCTGAGTGTGCAAACAGTGTGATCCAAAGATTGCTCTTATTAAGAATGCTAAAACCACCTGTTTCCATACGTTGTCTGTGCTGTCCCAAACCGTCAGCGGCCCACCGTCTCATGATTTATTGCTCTCAGCTGGTCACTTGGTGAGGCAGTGGGCCGAGCGTGTCAGGCCTTCTGTCCTCACACGCCAGCCTTTAACGCCTGCTGCTGGCGACCATCAGAGCAGAAAATTTGGAGAGGACACGGTGTCGGAGCCTCGGCCCCCTGTGAGGTGTCCGTCCATCCCGTTCTGCCTCCCTGAGCACCCGGGCTTTTTCTCATTGCTGCGGGTGCAGACACGTGGACCACAGCGTAGAATCAGTAGAGGGGTGGCTGGTTTCTCAACCAAAATGTTGAGGTTTCTAGTCATAACGTCTAGATCGTTGAGAGTGAAGAGAAATAGTGTTTGTTCACAAAAAGCCCAGCCAGAGGGTGGCTGGGGGCAGTGGGAGGAGTGGTGTCTGAGGAGGTGAGGGCTGGGGGGCCTCTGAGGAGGCCGGGGGCCTGGAGAAGTGGAAAGTGTGTTGACCAAGGCCTGACCCCCTGGTCCCGATTGTGGCCCAGACACTTATTAGCTTTGTGACCTTGAGTAAACGACATTACCATTCTGTGCCTCGATATTCTCATCTGTACAATGGGGATGATAATGGCATCCATCGCATGAGGCTCTTGTGAACGTTGAGTGAGTTCATCCTTTAAGAGCACTCCAGCACTGCTGCTGCCACCACCGCTGCCCAGCCAGGGGCTCGTCCTCACGCCAGGGCACAGGTCGGAGCACAGCACCGTTGTCCTGCCCTGGCCCCTCCCGCCTCACCTTGACTGGCCCCTCAGCGTGTGCAGTTCCGTGGACACCCCCTTGCTGTGTCCCACTGCCGTGCCTCGATGCCTGCTGGTTCTGCCCGCACCTCGTACACCCAGAACTCCTGTTTCTCTCTCAAAACCCAGCCCTTTCATGCCCTCTGCAAGCCCCCCCTGCCCCACACCTCCCCGATAGTTACTCACCCCTTCCTTTGTCCTCCTTCTCTGTTCATTGTCACACCTGTCACACTCTTGGACACTCACCAGGCTGTGAGCTCCTCAGGGCAGGGACCAAGTCTTACTTTTCCCTTGTCCCTTGAACCAAGCGTGGGGCCGGGCTCAGACATGGCAGGTGCTCAGTGCCAAAGGAGAGACTTAGGTGGGAGCAGCAGCATGCAGCCGAGTTCCTCCTCGTCTGAGTGGTCACCCAGGAGGCACAGCGCTGTCATGGCCCCTCCCAGCTCTGACCCTGACCGCTGGGTGAACCTGCTCAGCTCGGCCCTCTTCGCTGAGCCTCACTGTTTATCACATGAGCCCTGGCTGGTGGGTGCTTGTGAGCGGTAAGTGAAATACCATAGTTGGAAGCTCTGCACCTGCTGGTGGCGGGCTGAACATAGAGCCTTGTTTCTGTTTGTTTTTCATCCCTCCGATGTTCTCGTCTTTCAGACGAGGAAAGCGGGGCTCAGGGAAGTTATGTGGAAGCCCAGGGCAGCACAGCAGGTGAGGAGCAGAACCAGGAAGCCCAGTGCACAGCCTCTGCGAGGCAGCACGTGCTGAGGAGGGAGCGCAGGCTCTGGAATCAGGAAAGCTCCACCACTGACCGACTCAGGGACCCGTCCCAGCCGCTTGTCTTCTCCAGGCTCCGCCCTCGCTGTGAGGCGGACTCTGGTCCCAGCCTGCCAGCTTGCTGTGATGACTGGGCTCCATGCACAGGAGAGCACTGCCCTGCGGGCACCAGCCCCGGCCTGGGCCCTTCCCTTCCTTGCCCGGGCAGGCAGAGTCGCTGGGAGTGACTGGGCTGTGTCCTCTTGCTTTCTAGGTTAACTACATCCTGGAGTCACGAGCAAGCACTGCCCGGGCTGACTATTTTGCTCAAAAACAGAGAAAACTGAACAGACGTACAAGCTTCAGCTTCCAGAAGGAGAAGAAATCAGGGCAGCAGTGACACTGGCCTCCGGCCTCAATCTGTTGCCATCACTCAGAGCCTGCCTGCCAGGACCAGGTGGCCCTAGAGCCCACCGTGTGTCCTGCAGTCCTCGAGGGGAGGCCAGCCCCCGGCTCACGGGCACAGGGCTGGTGGGCTCTTGGGGAAGCGGGGGGCACCCCCTAGAACAGAGCTGGGGACATTTCCACAGGACTGAAGCCTGAGTGGCACTGGCTTTGCTGAGCTGTGCCCGGGGGCCAGACGACACCCAGAGGAGCCACGTGCTGCCCAGCCATCTTCACTGCCCGGCGGCCCTGCCTGAGGATGTACATAGCCGTGCCCAGACATCTCCTTGCAACTTGATCAAATTTCTTGAAGAACAAAAATGTACATTTCTTTTTTTCCTTTTAATAAACAGGTGTACTCTTTATCATGGTTGGTATGATGGACCATTCTTTGGGGCAGAGGATTGATTATGTTATTCTCTTTAAAATCTGTACCCATATTGAATAGGCAGATTGGAAAAGCTGTGGCTCGATTTCTCAGAAGAAATGTTTAGGGCTTAGTCAATAGTTTTAACTATGCCATTTGTTTCAATGAGCGCATTGCTTTGAGGATAGTATCCTACTAAAGTTTAGGAAGGGGACCTAATGATGCGTGTCTGAGGCTGCGCCATTTTCCCCTTCGGGAGCCTTCTCTCCTCAGCCCATCCCAGCATCTCTGACCTCGGAGATGCAGGACTGCGCCTGGATGATGGGGCGACCGGGGGTCTCCAGGTCACACGGGGCTCCCGGCCGGAAGGGGTCTTTTCCATTTCTCAAACAGCAAGTGTCTGTTTCAGCTAGCAGTGAGCCCTGCATGTGAATGTTCTCTGGAGTCGGACATCTCAGCTCCCTCCCTCTTCTCCGCACAGTGCCCCCTCTGAGCAGGCCGGAAGCTGCTGCTCTTTACTGTATCGGGAAGCACAGTGAGCAGAGATGGGGGGCAGGGGGGACCTGCCACCACAGAGTTCCTTTCCTGCCGGGGAAGGCAAGCGTATCGGGCGTCCACTGACACCACACCGCTGGCCACACCAGATGCCTCTGTGGTCCTCACCAGCCTCTCCGTGTCCCTGCCAGGGTGACATCCTCTCACACTGTCCCCGGCCAGGGTTGAGGACCAGATGTTTCACCAAGGACCTGCATTTCACACAGTTTTTAAAATTGTCATACAGATGTGACGAAAACAGCATCTCAGAGCCGAGGGTGTTTCTTTACACAGGGGTCATTTTAATGAATTCCTCTTTCATTCTGATCTTGGTTCAGCCAACAGAAGCATCCTTTTCTAATGTCTTCCATTCCTACCCCCCCCCCCAGAAACAAAAGAAATATTATTTGTAGCTTGCTCTCTGTATTTGAATTTTTAGCAATTTTATATTTAGATATCTTTGGAAAATGTAAATGACTAATTTGGTCATTAAATCTTGTGACATATTCAATATTAAAATGATATTAAAATAAAAGTCATATAAATACCTTTTTTGCATATTGCTTTGAATTCTTAGAGTCTTGAATCCCTTACCCTGAAGACGGTGACTCTACAGTGAATCACTCTGGGTGGTGACATTTGCTGGCAGTTGACATGGTACCGAATGTCTCTGAGATGCATGTGGGCCTCCCTAACTACTGAGCAAGGCAGAATGACCCTCTGCACTCAAGGGTGACATTGAAATCATCACCTCCTTCACTTACAAAATCGACACCATTCTCATGTTGTGAAATACAGCACGCATGCAGTTTACATAAAACACGTGTCCACTTAAAGGAATAATTTAAGGAGAACACTGTCACCACCACCCTGGTCAACCAAATATCCAGACAATTTAAAATCCGATTTTCCCCGGCCCCTCTCTCACACCCTACACGGGGATTTTAAGATAAGACCGTGAGCTCCTCAAGGACAGGCTTTACAAAGCAGAGCTCAGCACACCAAGTTCAACTGAAGTGACCCTACGGCCACACTCCGCTTTTCAGCAGCGTCTCCTGACCTAGATCCAGGGTGGCCCCCGCCTGACGTGATGATAACTCATGACTGGGACTTCAAGTGTGGGTGGCCTGGCAGGCCTGGGCGCTGGGCCCTGGAGCCTACTGCGGGCCAGGCAGGCTGTATGCGGCCCTTTATAAATAAGCATGAGCCCATGTGCCTCCCGCAACCAGCCTCTGCGGTCCTGTCATTATCTCTATTCCAGAGGTGAGGACTCAGGGCTTGGAAGGGTCTCACCTTTCGTCCAGGACACCGTGACTGAGACCGCAGCATGCTCCTAACCACGGGGCTCTGCCCTCCACAGCTAGCAGCTGTGTGGCCCCGAGCCGAGCACTGCCTCCTTGGGGCCTCAGTTTCCTCATCTGTAAATGAAGGTGCTGAATGAGGTGACCTCTGCAGACCTTTCTAGAAAATGTCTTAAATGTCTCAGGATCACAGTGAGCCCAACCTTCCTTCCAGTGGCTTCTGTTTGCCAAAACTTGCAGGAGCTTCTCTGCTTCTGAGCAAGAGTTCTGGGAGTTGAAATACTATGAGGTCATTTACTCCAGCCTCCTCTCTCGGGGCAGTTAAGTGCAAGTTCCTTCCCAGAGTCCTTGAGCCTCTGCTTGCGTACGTCTAGTGACGGGGCACTCCCTGCCATTCAGGTCAGTGCTTTTCCTTGTTGGCCCATTTGGTCACCCTTGGCTGACCTTCAGTGATTGCCTGCCAGAACTTTCTCAGCACTGTGCTGCCGGCCTCTGCATGTTGGATCCCTTTCCACTCTGAGCGGCAGCTACCTCCTAACACGTCTCCTACCTGGGCCCTCAGGACCAGTGTCCCCACTGCCCTGGAAGACCACAGTGACATTCCTCGGAGTCTCCTCTTCATGGGGTAAAATGGAAGGTGATCCCCACCCCTGTCATCTCCCTGAAAACCTGCCAGCTGCTTCTTCGGGGTCCCCATTGCCCAGGTCAGGGGTTGCAGAACAGCAGGGCAGAGAGGGGAGCGTCAAGACGCTCACAGTCTGGTGAGGCCGGGGAGTGGGCAAGTGACCCCCAGGCCACACCACAAAGTGCCATGGAGTGCCGTGGGGACCAGCGGGGGCCTGGAAGGTGCCAGGCAGAGAAGACAGGAGTAGGAGAGCAGCCGGGGCAAAGGCCTGGAGCCTCAGCTGTGTGGTGCAGCAGCCAGCGCCAGGCTGGGGCTGGGGGTGTCACGTCAGGCCCTTATCACCCTGTTGGAGCGGGACATTGCAGCTTCTCGTACCCCACACAGTGTGACCTTCCCCTCATGGAGCTCCAGGACACCTGTGACGAGGTGGAGCATGGAGCCAAGGCCAGCGGGATGGGCCGGTTGGGGCTGCAGCCTCCTGGGCAAGAATAAAGCCCCCACTCCACACTCACCCAGGAGGGAGACGCTGTGGTTTCTCCACGACCTGGGCGCAGCATCAACAGCTTTTGTTTCCCAGCGGGGCGACGATGGAGGCTGTGGCGTGGGCTGAGGAAGGGGCCCCAAGACTGAGAGGAGGAGCCAGAGTGGAGAGAAGGGCTTGTGCCTCTGTCCGAGCCAGCCCTGCCCAGCCGCCCGTGCCCTGCACCCCAGTGCCCACATCAGCATGAGGCCCGAGGGGCTGCCATGGCCCTCCATGGGGGCAGCCCTGGCAGGACCGGCCCCCAGCTCCTGGCCCAGGTTCCTGCCACCTGACTCTTGCCAGGCTGCCCCGGGTGCTCTCCCTCTCCCAGCAGTGAGGGAGGAACAGGAAGAAGAGAAGGAAAAAGCAGGGGCTTCCCTCCAGCTTGAGGTCGGAGGCCCAGGGTGCAGACCTGGGCTCAGATCCCTGATCCCCATGCCCTGCTCTGTGAGCTCGTCACGTTACGTTCCTGCCTCTGAATTGGGGATAAGCAACGGGATCCATCCCAGAGCTCTCCGTCGGGATCAGTCGGTCCAAGGGTGGCTAGGCCCCTCCCAGAGTTGGGGTCCAGGTGAGCCCATGCGCGTACCCCTGAAATCACGTCGTGTGTGACCACAGGCAAACATAAGCTAAGTCGACACTTTCCATTGTTTCAGCAGTGCCTGCCCTCTGCCTCTTAGGAAGCTCTCAGCTAAGGTCAGTTACTATTTTATTAACATTTTCTCAGTCCATCCTCACGCCTGCCCAATCCTCATTTTACAGATGAGGAAACTGAGGTAGAGAAACAAAGTCGCTCATCTGAGGCCATGCAGTTGGGAAGTGGGGGAGTCGGCTCTCCCACCTCCCACCCGCCCCCCAAGCTGTCCCTCCGTCTTGGCCGCTGGGGCCCAAACACCCAGATCCTGAAGGTTCCACCGAGGCCCAGCGGGCGGACCCAGCTACGTGGGCAGCAGCCCGGGAGAGGGAAAGGGTTAAGCCTGTCATGTCGTGTTCCTCGCCGAACACCTCTGCTTAAATGCAAAATCCCAACAGGGTGGTGTTTGCTGTGAAAGCCCTGAGAGTGATTTGTGAAGTCTCAAGGCCCGTAATCTCGTCAGCGTAATGGGATTATATTTCAAATCACCACGGCCTGTTCATTACCCACGTAAACCCCTCTGACAGAGGAAAACTTGCATGAACCGTGCCTGCGGCCCTGGCGACTTCCCCACTCTCCCTCCTGATTAGACAAACAGATGCTGAGGGCTGGAATGAAAAACTAATGTGCCCATTTATTCATTTTTCTGACAAGTCACAATAGATTTTTAACTGCCAATGAGTGACCTCCCGGAGGGGCAGCAGCGGGAGGTGCCCGCCAAGCAGCCAGTGGTCATTTCCGCCCGCGCCGGCCCCCCCATCCAGCCCGGGGTTTCTCCTGGGACCAGAGCTGGCTGCCAGGCTGAGCCACTCTCCTCACTCTCTGGCCTGGCCGAGGCTGCGGCCCGAAGGGTGGGGGTCTGTCTGCTGGGGCTCTCAGCTGTCACTACCCAGAGGGGTCCAGGGGGCCTCCTCAGGGCAACCAGGGCACAGCCATGGCCTGAAGTTACAAAACCTGGCCCTTGTCCAGCCGGGTGATGGAGGACACCTTTATCTCTCTGAGCCTCAGTTTCCCTGTCTGTAAAATGGAGGCAGTAAGAGCTCATCGTGATGAGGATCCAGTGGCTGCGGTGCGCTCAGCTCCCACTCGGGGTTCCCTGGGATGGCCGACCCCAGTCAGCACCCCCACCTGTATGAGGAGGAAACAGCCCTCCAAGGGCCAGGCCCTCCCTCGACCGTGACCTGTGATATGACTTGCTGGGTCACAGGGTCGCAGAGCTGGCAGGCGGAGGAGCCTCTCGCTCTCTGCTGTGACGATGCCTGGAGCAGGCGTAAGCTGGGAGAGGGGCAGCTGGGTCAGGGACCGCCGCTCTGCCTGCCCCTGGGCCCCCCTCCTGGTTCAGAAGCAGGACGCTGCTCCTGAAGACTCGAGACCTGAGCCAGGCCAGGCGGCCACCAGCTAGAGGGAGCCCTGTGGCAGAGAGTGAAAAAGGGCAAGTTTCCCCTTTGATCTGTCATTCAAGGCCCCCACCCTCTCCCAGGGACGGGAGGTCAGCCTCAATGATGCCCAGATCACCTCAGGTCTGGTCACATGGTGCCCACCTCCCCGCCTCCCAGTCCTCCTAGAGCCAGATCCCCTGACCCGGAGACAGGCATGGAGGGCGCCGGCATCGGATCAGTGATACACCGAGGGCCAGGGTTTCAGCCCTGGAGCCAGCACATGCCTCACGAGTAGAAGTCACAGCCAGTCACATCTCCCCGCCCCCTCTGCACGCCCCTCCCGTGACCCTTCCTGGAAAGGACTCAGCCACAGACTGAAGGCAAACCCCACTACTGGGGGGCCAGGGCAGGTCTGAGTTATCTTTGGATGCTCAGCACCCAGCCCGGGGCCTGGCATGGGGGTGGTGGCCACGAGCACTTGCTACATAAACTCGCCCCTTCAGCCCGCAAACCTCTGAGCACATCCTCTGGGCTGGGCCTGCTCTAGGCCCTCGGGCTGCAGCAGGAGCACAGACAGTGGTGCCTTCTGGGCCCGCCACCTGCAGAGAAGGCCGCCCTGCCTGAGGGACCAGAGAGAGATGAGAGCAGCAGCTGGAGTGGAGGTGGGGGCAGGCCGGGGCCGGGACCCAGGGAAGCCCTGCTCCAGCCACAGGGAAGGAGCAAGGGAGGAGGCGGCCTGGTGGGTGAATGTTCAACAGCCTCAAGACTGAGCTGAGAACCTGCAGAGGGAATAAAAATCTGCCTCCTGCTGTGTGACCCGGACCCCTGACTCAACCTCTCTGAGCCGCTTCTCATCTGCACAACCGGGACAAAATCCCACCTTCTTCACAGAGTTGCGTGAAGAGTAAATAAGACAATGTCACAGGCCTGGTGCACAGTAGGGCATCAGTAACATGGAGACAAGGGTGCCAGTCACAAACTCGTCGGGAACACACCAGCCAAGGCCACCCCAGCCAGCAGGAGCTCGAGCCTCCCGGGCAGCCGCAGCACCCCCAGGGAAGCCCCCGGGGTCCAGCCAGGGGGCCTGCG